TCAAAGATGGGCGTACATATCAAAATATTATACACACACGCACTCACTCATGCACACACACGCACACACACTTCTACATACACTCAAAGATGGGCGTACATATCAAAATATTATACACACACGCACTCACTCATGCACACACACGCACACACACTTCTACATACACTCAAAGATGGGCGTACATATCAAAATATTATACACACACGCACTCACCCATGCACACACAAACTTCTACATACACCCAAATATGGGCGTACATACCCATACACACACGAACGCACTTAGGCACGCGTGTACTCCCTACATACACCCAAATATGGGTGTACATATTTCATAATATACAAACACGCAGTCACTCATTCACGCACACGCACACGCACACGCACACGCACTTCTACATACACCCATGAATGGGCGTACATACACCCGCACGCACTCACTCATGCATGCATGCACGCACACTCCTATTTACATTCACTTACGGGCGTGCATACACACGCACGCACTCACTCATGCACGCACGCGAACTCCTACATATAACCACAAATGGGCGTACATATATACAATCAGGCACGCAGGCACACTTTTGAACTTGCACGTGAGAAGAAATTCCTACTCACATAGAAATACGTGCATTCGCATTCATTCATTCAGTGCAAGATCTGCGACAGACATCGGCGATCATGGTTCTCCATTCATTCCTTTGCTCGGATGCTCTTACAACAGCTACATTTCCCTGATCATTCCCCTTTACCCATTTATCGTTCAAGTTCCCTAAATAGGTTGCATTCGCATACTACAGGGATTAAAATATTATTACGCAGCATGATTATAAAGTACCATACCACTCACCAACACAAGTAAACACAGTCCTGCTCTTGAATGTATGCTAATACCGGGTGGTTGGAGGGTGACACTGGTAGGCTCTACTTCTTCTTTTTGTGTGTATTTGTGTCTTCTTTCCCTTCGTAATTCCTGATGATTGGTTAGTTGGCGGGCACTCTGGTAGTGTGGTTTGTTCTTTCTTTCTTATCAAACATCTGTCGTCCTAAACTCTATCCCTTTTCTTTGTACATTACTCCTTTAGCTATCATGTACCACCTATCATTTTCGACACCTAAATGTTCTATTTGTGTTGGAAGTGGTGTAAAACCCATACTAATATTTTGAAGAAAAAAAAAGACCCAATAATTCTTGTCGGTCTGTCTTTATCTTTCCGGAAACTAATTGGCGTGGGTGGTTGGAAGGTGCTCCTGTGTGGTTTGCTTCTTCTTTCCTATCAAACATCTATCGTCCTTATCTCCCCTTCTTCTTTTTTATGTTTGTTACTCTCTTGTAATACCTCTAATCTTCTAGCGCTCATAGTTTAACCCTACGCAGTAGCGAGTGCCGTAAAACACTTACTAAAACTAAACCATCTTTAATGTTCAACACCTAATGTTCTATTGGTGTTGGAAGTGTTGTAAAACCCTTAATAATACTTTTAAAAAAGACTCTGTAATTCTTGTCTCTCTGTCTTTATCTTCCCGGAATCGAATTGGCCAATATTGTGACACTGTTTCCCTCTTTACCCTAACCACCAATGTCCTTGCCCTTATACCCACAGTTGCGCTGGTACGACAGACCGCCCAAGATGCAGCGATTGGAGGACAGCTCGGCCCTAGACACGCCCTCTGAGGAATCGATCCACTACCTGAACCTTGCCAGTGGCTACCACCACGCCCCTCCGTTCGCCGGGAACGCCCCCTTGACGAGCAACGACATCAGTATCAAACAGGAATATCACGTGTCACCCACACGGGCCAATGGGGAGCCCCACAATAGCACTGGCGCCGCCTACCCGATGGGTAAGTCAAAGAGAAACAACCAATCAAAAGTCAGCTTGAAGAAGCATTCAATCAGATGTCCAATCACTTTCTTTCTTTTCGTTCTTTCTTTTTTTTTTGTTCTTCTTTTTTATTTCAACTTTTTTCCCCCGGCTTCTGTTACCTTACAGTGTTGGTCGAGGAGAGACGTAATCGTTTGGGTTTGTTGTTTTTTCAGCTGTCAACATCCAACAGAAATATTAATGTATCAACATTAATTGCTTTCTCATCTTGGATCAAGGTGTAGGCCACGAACAAAC